CTTGATCGCTGCGCGGCAAATGGCGGAGGTTGCTGCTGGTGGTGAAAGGCTAGTCGAGCGCGGTTGTAGGAGCCATGAGGCAGTGGCTACGCCAGATGGCCAGTGAGTCGAACCGTAACACGACCACCGGCGAGTCCAGGCGCTGTGCCCCAGTGAGTCGGGTGTGAGAGCGCTGGAGGGCCGAGGCAGTCGTGCCCGGCGCAGCCTGCCGATGTCTCCGAAAACCGAGCGCTGGCGACGAAGCTTGCTGGTTGAAGTTGCTTGATGTGGAACTGCTGAACTGAATCAATGNAATACAAATAATGATGAACATTTTCAGACAAATGCAGATGTATACAGTGTTAACACAAAACACAAACACTGTCTTAATAAACCAACTGCTAACCTCTCATGCTTTCAGAAAAGAGCATATTATGCTGGGATCAACATTTTTAATAACCTGCCATCTGATCTNTATAAATGCGATCGTTTGAAGCAATCTGATTGGTTAGCGCGCGTGATGGTGAAAAGTGATATGAAGAGCGAGCGTTGCAGAAATGCGTGATAATGTGGGATGTTCCCACAATACATATGTTTTGTATTTATATGACATTCCACATCCCACAGTCATTTTGACTAACTTTGGATCCCTGGAATGCAATGCAATGTAATGTAATATTTCAAAGCTGCTGTATGGGTATGGTGAAAGTTCAAGCCTAATATTGTCTTGAAGTTCTTCCAAAGAGTGTGGGTTGTTCACATAAGTTTTTTCTTTCAGCATGCCCCACAAATAAAAGCCATAATGATTTACATTGGTGATTGTGGAGGCCTTTGTTCTTGATTAATGACTTATCTGAAGACTTCATTTAATGCACTGACAGAATTCTTTGCAGTGTGTGCCACTGCGTTATCTTTCATAACATTTCTGTACAATTTTTTGTCATCAGTCAGTTGATCAAAGAAGGGTGACTGAATCAATCAAACATAATGTTCAGAATTTCTTTAGTTAAAAAATATTGGCCCAATTATCCTTCATGCACTAACTGCACATCAAACACCAACTTTCAAATCGTGCAGTGGAACCTCATGGACAGCATAAGAATTCTCTCTGCTACAGTATCTGTTATTGTGGCTGTATATGCAACCACTTAAAGTCAACCATGCCTCCTCAGAATGAAACACACAAGCTACAGGTCAAGAATTCCACTGAATACTAATTCCTGAAACCGCTTACAATCTGGAATTATTTCCTTGTAATCTTGAGGCAAAGGGCTATGAACAACTGTAGTTTATAAGGCTGTAACTTCAGAAACTTTGTATTAATGTGAGCTGTAATTTATGCCAATCCACATTGAAGAGCCAAAAGACATGACTTCTCTGGGCTTGCTTCTGATCAAGCACCAATGTCTTGAAGTTTTTCTTCAGTCAGTATATCTCTTTCAAAATTTCTTTTTATTTAACACTGTTTCCATAGAATACAATTTTGTTGACTTTAACCACATGTCATTTTTAACACTATATTTCATAACACTGACAACTCTACTTGCATGTATCTGAACGACAATTATACCACTAAACATGCAGCCCTATCAACATAAGCCAGCAAGCATCACATAACAAAGTGATGGCTTTGGCGGTCAGCAGTGGACAGGTGTAGGAGAACAAATTTTTAGCAGGCAAGTCTAAGGATAATTTGTCCTCCCTGTATATTCAATAAGAGGTAACAAATTTAACATGAGAACATGTGAATCTTACAAAAACACACCAATCAAATCGTGTAACTATTTCATCTGAAGCTACAAGAAACAATATGTAAATCTGTTAATTATAACAAAATCCATGTTCACAAAATAATGCTTACTGCGTTGGTGAAAATGTGAACATCAGCCTCTTCTGCTCGCAAGAAATGCACTCTCCCCTCCTCCTCACACACGGTGACGTGTCCCACTGGTAGGGAGGCAGGAAAACCTTGAAGAGAACACATCATCCCATCCTGTAACAGAAGATACACCCATACAAGGCTGAAATTTCACAGCCACAATTTGATTTACATTACAGAACTGGTACAATGGGTGTTATTATTTCGATCATGTTACTTTGGCTGGGTCGCTGGTACGTAGAATGATCTGCATCAACGATTAAAAACAGAGAACATGTGGGTCTAGCATCAATATTAAACCCGTTCTCAAGTTCAGTTTACAGCATCTTCCTCCAAAGCTCGTTGCAACTTATTACGTTATTGTCATATTAACTTCGTTCATGAAATGATTATGTGAACAAATTCCTTGGACACTTTATACCGGGAAGCTATTTATTACGCCCCCTAAATCAGATATCCAAAATTCAAACATAACCCCAAAAAGCTAGCAATAACAGATTAATCATTGTGAAGTTGAGGTTCATATTAAGTGATGTTCCCAAAATCGACATTATAGTCCCACAGTAGAGATAAGAATACTCTTTCTTACCAGATGTTCCTATGAGAATAAAATACTTAGTACAATTCCACTTCCTCGCTTTGTTTTTCCCGGCATGAAACGTACGAAACTGATTTACGGACCCTACGCACAAACGCTCAATGTCACAGACTTCTCACAGATGACAACGGAGTTCGGCCAGACCAGGGTATTTTAGCTTGGTTTTAACTTCGTCTGCTTCTGTGGCCGCTCTGATCGTACTTCCTGCTCCGGCCGCACGACAGAAGCGCCGTTTCAATTGGCGTATCAGTGAGACCGAGCGAGAGAGCAGATGGTAGCAATGGTATCAATTGCTATTGCGTGAACGCGAGTGCTCTGTTGAATAGACGCAAGTGATTATACTATTTGTGTTAATAAAGTTTTATAACATTAGACACTGCGATACCATTCTTTATAGATAACCCAGTTATCTACACTTCGGGTATTTTGAAACGAAAGATGATATGTGTGAAAATGAGGGGAAAACTAGATAGCTGTGAACATGAGACGCTCGAGGTAATTTGTATGGGCAAAAGTAGATCCTCGGAGAACGATGACGAAGTCCGGATTGAGTTATGATCACATTAATATGATAGTACAATTTATTGAAATGAAGTGTACAGTGGGTACATCGAATCCCAATGAGTTCACTGGATTTTTCAATTGACACGATCCTTCCTTACCCTCACTGTGGGCCTGGGGTCAACTCATCCTCTAACAGAAATGAGTACCAGGAATCTTCCTTGGGGTAAAGGGCGGCCGGCGAGTGAGACTGACAGCCTCACTGCCATCTGTTAGCTGATTTTCTAGAAAATGTGGGAGCTTCGATGTCTCACAACACTACGGGCCTCCATGACCTGGTACAGGAAGAGCTTTACCTTTTTAACTTTTTACCGTGGGTAGGTCAGCCACGTATCTGAGAGGGGCAGGCAACAAACACACCAGAAACGTTTCAAGTTGTGACTCCCTCTAGTAGAGACGCAGTCTGCCTCTCCCTACACAAACACACACATACACTCAACTTCAACCCCCCCACATATGGTTCATGTTACGTTTCAGGTTGTGTCAACATGAAAATTTAGCGAAATCAGAAATTTTTCCAAGAACAGTGCACTACAAATTTATTGCACTGTAACACACTGTTAACGATATTTCACTTCATTCGTGATTAAAGTAAATGCGAGTTTAAATTCCGATCACATAAAAATTAATGGATTCCATCAAATTTTAAAGTATCATGAAAGGTCAGCGTCAATGCACCAACTTCCTCCTGTAATGTGGTTACCCTAACTTGATAAATGACGTAATCATATTGTCGCATATCGGGCGTATATCGCGACAAATAAATTCTCGATGTATTCGATGTAGCGAATTTTATTTCACATTCGCTCATACAATCACCCAAATTACAGATTTACGATTACTGCTATCTGCAGTATCACAATTAGTACACTCCAAATGCCACAATACAACTGACTAGTTGCTGGCTAACTCGGCGGTAGCTCCAGGACTCACTGACTGACTCAGTACAACTCGACTCGGCGACTGTTACAGTACAACTGTGNGGTAATATCACATGATTTTGCCACGCCCGAAGGTTATAGTATATAAGGGCTGACACTTTAAGGTTTCGAGGATATGAAAGTAACAAGTTACGTCGAGGAGCGTATCGCTCTCGGAGAGTCAGGGGTTTGATTCCTGATCTGTATTCTTTCGTAATGTCTTGATCTAGTAAAGTGTTTGATTTCACCACTCAAGTTCGCATTGTCTGCTTGATTTCACGCATCCATGACCTCAATGGGCCTTGCCCATCTGCACGCTTCCAACGCTTCGGTTCACAACCAGCTACAAGTCTTCAGCAGGCAGACTACATTACCATCACGGCTGGCCAGCGCAACTACCTGCTTGCAGAAGTGTAATAACATATGGCGGTAACCTATTAGTTACCTGGTGGCAGTTAAACACGCTATCCTCCACGTTTAAGACGTGGTGACACACTCCTAACATCCTGAGTGCTCGTGTGAATCACCATCCCATCACACGCGAACCAAAACCCAACTTCAGTACACTACATCAGTGTTCCGCAACCTTTTTCTACTCGCGGCACACCATGAAGTATCCATGACTCAACACGGCACACCAAAATGTTATTCCCCTCAAAAACGCATGATATCAGACAATTAATATAAATACGTAACGTGATCAACTTATTACTATAATATTATATTGTTATTGTATTATCATTAAACAGAAATCGACTCGTGCATTTATTAACAATTAATAAACTTTAATTCATTGTAGAGTGCAGAAAATACACTTCTATTACTATTAAAATAAATACAGTAATTCTACTCATACCCTCAATGTGATACTTGCGCCTGCGTAGCTGCACACAGGCGACTGATCCGTGGTGGAATCGTTGACAACGCAAGTCTCATTTCTTCATCGATGGATTTGAGCCTCTCCCTCTTTGATGTCTTAATTTCAGTTAACGTCGAGAAGCCCAGTTCACACAAATATGTAGTTGAAAATGGCAATAACACATTAACTGTCATCTCGGAGATAGCCGGGTATCCACTCCTTATTGCCAACCAAAACGTATCCAAAGGCACTTCGAGAAGTTTTAGTTTCAATGTTCTGTCTGCTTTTAAATCTGCGAGTTCCTCTTGTATATTAATCGGAAGATGTTCTGATTTCACAGCAAAAAGGGATCACGAACCAAGTCGAAATCTTATACACTCTCTCCAAAATACTTATTGAATTTCTGCTGCAGCATTTCTAAATGTTCTTTAATTGTGTCCATCACCACTTTATTGCCGTCAGCAAGTGGCCATACAGTCGGGGACATCTCAAACGACCCATCTGTAATTCTCTAACTAGCAACCAAAATTTGCGTACTTCAGAGCACAGCTGTGATAGAACTGAAACAATTGTAAAACGCGGGATCTCTACTCTTCAAACGGAAGAAGTGACACTATATCTACTTATTTTTGAAATATTTATAATTTTAAATGAAGTCCAACAATCGGTGGGGGCATCGTTACAGGAAGAAAGTCATAAATTTGAAGCAGCTCTAACTTCTAACAGACAGGGGCTAATACCAAAACAGCGTTATAAAAGACAGGAACCCCCATGCTAATCCCTGCAGTTTTAAGGAAAAGCACGTACACGGAACATGCGGCAAGCATTTCAAAGAAGTTGCGCAGATGCGAGAAAAATAAAAATAAATCAATAATGAAAACTATGATAATATAACAACTGTGGGTAAATATTTTACGTTTAATTTCTTAGAATACAACATTACTGTACATAAAAAATCACAGCATGTAATAAAGAATAAACAAGCATCATCTTATTTAATCAGTGAAGTGGCTGAGAATAAAATACAAGCATATGAAACACGGTAACTGGGATAAAATAAAACGAATAAAATTCGACAATTAATTTCTTACAATAGGTAAAAGTTCGCGACACACCGGTTGCAGAACACTGGTCTAGATAATGTGGGACCCTCGACGTCTCACAACCCTATGGGCCTCCACAGGCTGGTACAGGGATAGCTTTACTTTTTACTTTTTTAATATTTCGAAAGACCAGGTAGTGCATTGTACACATTGTTTTCACCAGTTACAATAATGGACCACCTATTTGAAACGTGAAGGATTAAACGTGAACATGTCTCAACCTTACTAACAGTCTACGAACCGAAAATTCAACTCTCCTTCTCTGTATTGAAAAATACGTCGATTTCTATTAATTGGAAAATAGCGTAACATTATATTTGCCAGTAAACGCAAATATCCTGCTTTTAGCCCAAGGCCCCAAAAGTTTCTAACAGTATGAATGAAAGTTCATCTTAAACAAATCCGTGCTCTAAGACAGTTTCCTGAATTTTCCTTCCTAACACGGCGGCCGATCAATGTGAGAAACCCACCAAACCCACCGTAAATATGAAAACGACTCGAGCAGCGTTCGCCAATTCGTTATTTCACAATTAAGGTTCTCACAGCGGTGACCACGAAGGGTGCGATCTTCTGGGTTATGTCGTGTAGGTAGTTTACCGACGTTGTGGAGGAACATATCGCCTCCATTTTCAGATCCAAGGAAAGTCCAAAAAGAAGCCAGTGACAAGCAGGGCTTCATAGCCGGCTTACACCCTGATCACGAAGATGGAGGCGATACGATCTCCTAACCGTCGGAGGATTACTACCAAACTATTCGGAGTTACAACCCAGAAGTAGTAGTCCCGAATCCAGAATCCCAAGTTCGTAAATTATGTGTGTCTATTCAAATATTCTTGCCAATGTGAAATTCAAAACATGACTGCCGCATAGATTTCTCGGGAGGACACCAATAATTCCGAAGAACATCAAGAAAACGAATTTTGGAAACAGTAGACAAAAGTAAGATAAAGCTGCCCCTCTAGCAGACCGTGGAGATTCCCACATTTTCTAGACAATCGACTCACATATGAGGATGAGGTTGTCAGCCTTACGCGCCGGCTGCTCTGCATAGTGAAAAATTTAGTTCAAACCATAAAAATATGCATTTATATTATTTAATTACATTTACATACTTTATATACAAATATCTTCAGCAGTACCAGAAAAAGATATGTCAAAATACCTCGAATGTACAAACAAGAAATAATTCACTTTAAGGACACCACCAGCATTTAGTACAACATGGGACTAAACAAGTAGCCTAGCATATAAAATGTAGTAGACTAGGATCACCTGCAGTCTGTTGGTTGTTCTGGAGGATCTATTAGCAGCAATTATGATGTGGTTAATTATATAAACAACTGTTACAAACATACAACCATACAAGCAGATAGTTTCAATTTTGAATCCCCCACCCCTATCCGAAAGCTCTTTGGTGTCGTTATGGGGGTTCTTTTTTTAGAGCAGTGACCCCAAAAATTTCAATATTTTCCACTTTATTAAGCT